ACGTATATATATATTTGTAAATATTTATCTTAAGCCTTTCTGCATGAATAGATGTCAAATGCGGGAGCAGCACGGCATACCTGGCGCTCCCTCCTCCTGTGCCTGCCCGCAGGCTCCTCCTGGAGCAATGCCCCGTCAGTCCAGAGAGCGGCTCTGAGCTTCGGGCAGCGCCACTTCTCCTCCTCTTCTTCATCCCTCCCGCCCCTTCTTCACCTTCCTCAAACCCGCGGCCACTTGAGCCGGGCGGGGCAGCTCCGCCCCGCCTGGTGCGGGGCCCGGGCGGGCTGGGGTGCGCACGGCTTCCCGAGGAGCCGGCATGGGCACGGAGTCGTTCCTCGGAGTGAGTAAAGCAGTGGCCAGGGGCAGAGGGAGGGATGCGGCTCCTCGGCGGGCCCGGCAGCGGGAGGGAGGCGGGGGCAGCCCCGGTCCCCATCGCCCCCGGGGCTGGCGGCCCCTCCTCGCCGGGGTGCTCGGGTACTGCTCCTCACAGGGTTTCCCGTAACTCCCGTGGGGTTTTTTTTAGCTTCTGGGTCGGCTGCAGCACATGTTTTACTGATGCCATCATGAGTGGTTCTTTAATTATATCTGCCTCCCGGAACTGCGTTGGCCGGCGTTTGGCCGTGTCCCAGCGGGGCTGCGCGGGCAAGGCGCGCTCCGACCGGGCACAGCCCCTCCGGGCGAGGGACATCAGCCCGACGCTCTCTGTGTCCTGCGGCTGGACAAATCAAATCAGAACAACTCATTTTAGGAAGAGAATTCTTTTCTGTAATTCAGAATTCTTTTCTGTAATTCATATCACAACTTCAATTATTCTTTCTGAACGGGTGCCCTGGATGCAGGGAAATCCCTTATCCTTATTTAAACATTTTAACACAGCCTGCTTAATACCTGCCTTCAATAGTATTACATAATTTACCTGACATCAAGAGTATGAAATTTTCCTTTCTTCTGATCTCAAAGATTTGGATATAAGATATATACAAAATGTAGCGGCTTTATAGGTCTGCATGTTTTATTGCGTGTTTATTGCATGTGTGCCGGTAAAGTCCTCAAAATGGAATTGCTGTCTGTATGCAGAGCACCCAGGGAAGGTCAGACGGCTGATGTGAACAAGGGGAGCGAGGGTAGTTAGGGTGGGCTGCTCCTGACTGGAAGCCAAGTGCCCACCAGAGTCTCTCTATCGCTCTCCTGCTCAGCAAGGGGGGAGAAAAATGTAAGGAAAGGCTCATAGGCCCAGATAAGGACAGGGAGAGATCACTCACCAGGTACTGTCACAAAAAAGGCAAAGCAGACTCAGCTTGGGGAAAATATTGAATTCATTACCAATGAAATCAGAGAAATAACCAGCAAATCTTAGAACACCTACTCTCCACCCCTCCATTCTCCCAGGGTGCAACTTCATTTTTGATTTCCTGATTTCCTCTACCTGCAGTGGCACAGGGGGATGTGGAATGGGGGCTGAGGTCAGTTCATCAAGTATTGTCTCTGCTTATCCTTCCTCCTTGGGGATGACCCCTCACACTCTTCTGCTCCAGCATGGTCCCTCCTGTGGGAGACTGTCCTCCACTAATTTCTCCAACATCAGTCTTTCCCAAGAGCTGCTGTTCTTGGTGATCTGCTCCAGTTGGGTCCTTTCCATGGGGTCACAAGTCCTGCTAGCAAACCTGCTCCAGTGTGGGCTCCTCTCTCCATGAGACCACAGGTCTTGCCAGAAGCCTGCTCCCACATTGGCTTCCCATGGGGTCACATTCTCCTTTGGGCACTCACCAGCTCTAGTGTGGGACCCTCCACAGGCTGCAGGTGGAGGGCTCTGCTCCAGAATGGATCTCCATGGGCTGCAGGGGCACAGCTGCCTCACCATGGTCTTCGCCATGGGCTGCAGGCAAATCTCTGCTCCAGTGCCTGGAGCACCTCCTGCCCCTCCTTCTGCACTGGCTCTGGCGTCTGCAGAGTTGTCTCTCTCACATATTCTTACCCCTCTTTTCCTGGCTGCTGTTGCACAGCAACTTTTTCCCCCTTTTTGAGCCTGTTACTCCAGAGGCTCTACCACTGTTGTTGATGGGCTCACCCTTAGCCTGCCTTGGAGCCAGCTGGCATTGGCTCTGTTCTACTTGGGGACAATTTCTGGCAGCTTCTCACAGGAATCAGCTCTGTAGACTCTCCCCACTATCCAAATCTTGCCATGCAAACCCAACACAGTAGTTTATCACAGTACTGTGTGTAGGGTGGACTTATGTGTCTGGATAAGGGGAAAAAAGAAACAGTTCTTATTTTGAAGTTTAGGGTTTAGTAATGAGATGCAGCAGCTAATGGTTGCAGTTTCATTTCTCCAAGTCAGCCTTGGTTTCTCCCTAAAGGTTGCCCCTCAAACACAAGGCAGCAGCTGAGTTTAGAGGTGGCAGTGTGAACATCTAGGGCTTTGCATTGCATGGGGGAGTGGGACAAAACCTGGTCCAGTCACTTCTGTACAGGACTTGATCAGCAGATGGCCATGGTGCAGCTCCTGCCATGCACTGCCAGCGGCTGCCATCCCCAGTCTCTCTCAGGGTACTGTAGAAGAAGAGGAAGAGAAGGAGATGTGCATCTCTCACATGTCTGTGTTTGCAGGACTGCAGTGTGTCTTGGTCTTGCTGTTTCTGGTCTCTGCTGGCTTTTCTCAGGCCCAGCAGGATACTCTTGTGAAGTGTCCTGGTCCTGCAGAGGCTGGAACAATGATGGCAGCTGTGCTGCCCGTGGGCTTTGGCTGGACAATGCCAAGGGATCTCTTGTACAGCTCAGTAAAGGCAATTGCAGGGCTTGATGCCTCTGCAGGGACCTCCTGAGCATGTGCTATCCTGACTCTGTGCTGACTTGGAGAAAGGGACCAGCATGGCAGAAACCCAGCTTTTTTTTGTCAGCTGTGAAGCTGCCCTGTGTTAGCCCAAACAAGATGGTCAGAGCACATGACAGGAGGAGAGTGGCAGCAGGCAAACCTGCACCCTTGGATGCATCCTGGGGGTGCTGTTGTTGCAAAGGAGCATGTGCCAGGACAAGGTGTGACCACCTGGCAGGGCTTAAGGGACTTGCTATGGGTCCCTGGGGTGATGGGTGCTTGCTCTGGGGGAGCATGGGTGGCATTGGAGAACCCCAGAAGCTCTGGAAAGGAAGCTGCAAATCTCCCCACTCAGAAGAGGAAAAACAATGCTTATAGTTAGGTCTCTAGTCTGCATACAGGTCCTGCATAAGTGCTGCCATATGCTGGGGTCTTACAGCTTCAGAGCTCCTGTCAGCTTCGGAGCTGGAGAAGAAGAGAGACCATCCAGTCTTTATAAACAGAAATGCTGTTTTCAGCACCTGCAGCCCCTGCCCATGCTGATGTTACTTGGTACAGAGACTAGAGCAGAGCAGCTGTGGGTGAGCAGTGGTGTGCAGTGTGATGAAGCATGAAACAGCAAAAGGTGACAAAATGAGCTTCAGACATCTGTTGTTTGAACAAGAGTCTGTGGGGGACAGAAGCTCATCATATTAAAGTGCAGAGCCAGAGTATGGGTGAGTTGATCTGCCTGAGATCTGAATATTTTTCCAAGAATAAAAATGGCTGATGTGGCATATAGAGACCATTTGTTTCTTACAACTCAAAGATGCACCGAAAGCACAGCAAGGCAGGCTAGGCAGGTGATGCTTTGTGCATTGGCTGTATAAAAGCAGATTGTATCTTTTTGTGTGGTATGGACATAAAGCTTAGGAATGCAATTCCTAATGTTGCCTTTCAGATGACCCTATGTGACTGTCAAAAAAAAAAAAAGCACCATGTTTAAGGAAATGTTCTTCATATAAGCACGGTGGCTCTCCAGTATATGAGGAAAAAAACCAACAACCTCCTAGGAGAAACAATCTTGAATTAATGTGCTAAGATACAGCAAAAGAGACCAGGGACCAGTGAGGGTGTTTGCAAAGTAAAAAACCTCAAAAATACGTATATGACTGAGATTACTGTAGCAGACAGGAAGGAATCATTTACATTGGCAGCTTTTAAATACAACATTAAAAAGGAAGCTGTGATATTGGTAATATGTTGGTATTGGTAATCACTGTGCCACCACTGTGCCAGAAGAAACTCTCACACTATCTGTGACAAAATAAAGCCTTGAAAGCAGTGAAAAGAAGGAAGGCTCTAATCCTCAGACCACCACCTGAACTAGGAACATACTAGGAAAAAGACCCCAAAACACAAAGAACTTATTTTTGTGTTCTGCACAATCCAGGAGATCATAAAATGAAAAATGAACAGGATAACTCTAGCAGGCCCTGGTGATGCCACGATTTCTCACCTGGGCTTTCTCCACTGGCACTCCTGCATGACCACTGCAAATTTTGCAGAAGATCCCAGAGAAGAACTGTTCTAGAGTAGTTTCAGGAAGGTCAGACCAAACTGAAATACTTATGATCATGGACTCATAGGAGTGGTAAAAACATCTTTGGTGTTCTCCAAAGCAGGAATAAGGAGAGGAAAGTCTTCCTCTTTGACCTCAGATGGTGGAATGACCTGCAAATCCAATGTCATGACATTTTTGTAAAGGCTTTTCATAGAGGTACTCCTGTGGCACCTGACTGGATCCTTGAAGGTAAGTGTTCTCTAGGGACCTGAGGGTAGCAGACCCAGCCCCTGTCCCAGCCCTGCCATTGGTCCCATTGCCATGCTCCTGGGACTGCAGAGGGTAAAGGAATGGACAGAGTTTCACACTGGAGGGAGGTACTCCTTGTGGTTTCACAACAGCCAATACAGACAACAATTTCTCCATACCAATGAAACTGTGTATATTTGCCTTGGCTTGATTTTTTCTTTCACTTGGTCAGTTTGCAAACCTGAAGCTGGAATCCATTCTTTGGCATTGTGCTGGGAGACAGTGTTATCAAAAGCAGCACATGTTGTGGCTACAAGCTCTTGACATTTTTCTGCAACTACTTGAGGGAAGGGTTGGCATTTTTTAACATCTATAAATTCTTCCTTCACAGGTGCAATGCCATTAATTCAACCACAGTAGATGGAGTGGTTTATTTGGAGTGGTTTATTGTTTTTCTTTTCTTTTTCCCTCCCAGAACACCCTATGAAGTCCCAGAGCACATACCAATGGAAGGCCCTTTGCAAACCTTCGTTCACGTGTGCCATGAAAATGGTCAATGGATGTCACAGTTACCAGAGAAGCTCTGGGATATTCCCCTCTATAACTTAGCTCTTCCAGGTAAAGATTAACTTTTGTTCTCCACTGTTTTGTTGGCTTACCATTTAAGCATTGGAATATCCTGTTTGTCCCATTTCAGGATGGCTATGTTTATATTTGGGTCAGCGTGTGGGGGAGGGTTTGTGTGATGTTATGTCAATAATGTTGGTCTGTAATGTTTGGTGTTTCTTAGAGGGGAGGGGTAACAAAGAAATTTTTTATTGTTTTTTTAGAGATAAAAATAAAGAGGCACTTTGAATTATCTTGTGAGATACTATTAATAATCTAAGGATTAACTTATTTGGGCAAAGATAAAATTTCCCTAATTAATTCTTGTGAATTCCCATATAATAAAATGTTTCCAAAAGGGGAGAATTAAGGTTTGCCTTACTATTTGTTTCTTTGTACTGCCGAAAAGAGGCTGTGAAGTTGCAGAAAAAGGAGAATTGAGACTTATAATTAACATGTTTTTACTAATGTAGACTGTTACTTTTCTACATGATCCAGCTTATAAAAACTGGATTTATCGTGTTATGTGTAAATGCATTTGAACGATACCTGTGTGTTATTAACCTTTCTTTGGTCATATTATTGCTTCTTTCTGCTGCCTTGATTTTTTCCCCCTCTAATTCTGTCCAAAAAAATTTATGGTATAATGTGGTTTCACTGACAAACGGGGAGGCACTGAAGGCCATCAGCTCTTGAGTGATTCCCTTTGCTTCCACTTCAAAAATGGTTCTAAAGAAAAGTCTAGCCTGTGTTTTCTCTCACACATGTAGATGTGACAGGTAGCTTGGGGGCAAAGCAGCACAGTATGTAGATGAATGTTTTATCTAGGCCACAGGATCATAGGTTAATTTTGGGAAAGGCATATATTTAGAGATAGTGTGAAGTCATGTCTTCAGTGGGTAGAGCCTCGGGAGAATCCAAAAATTGTAGTGTTTTGGCTTTTTTCTGCCTGTTGTGAACTAATGGAGTGTGGAGTTCCAATTAAAATTGAAACCCAGAAACTTATTTCATGGAGGCTTCTTAGATAATGTAATTTGAATTGATGTTAGCTTCAAAACATCTGTTTAGGGTAAAGCCTATGTAAGAGGACTAGGACAGGTGCTATTAAAGAAAACCCCCTAGATTTCTTATTTAATCAGCATGAGAGGAAAAATGAAAATATGTGTCTGTCTTATGACTGAAGAAAGAAGGTAATAGTCTTCTCTTTGCCTATTTTTGTTCCTATTGCAAAAATCATTCAAAAGTCAGTAGCACACTCAGTGGGATTTTGTTTTGCTGGAAAAGGAGCCATGGTGTTTCTATGAGACTTTCCCCTGGTGTTTCTTAGCCATCTTAGAAAGTGGAGAACCTACTGACGGGTTTGTTTGCCTTCCTGGCTCTTGTCCTAATAACCCTGTTATTCTTGAAAATGTTTGTTGTTCTTGTGAGTATGCCTGCAGGGAGAACAGGCATGAAGAACAGTTGAAGGCAAGTCCATTTCAGCAAACATTAGAGGACTTTTACAGAGCATTGCAGGCTATTAGCTTAGAATATTTTGATGTCTGTCCAGTTGACCTACAAAGCTGATCTAGCCCAAGTCAGAACACAAACAGATCAAGACCAATCAGGTCAAGACAGCTCTGGCAGGTTTCCAGAGGGAGGAAACCCAGTTTGGAAGTGGAAGTTTATCTCATAGAAGGCATGCAAGAAACATGACAGTGTGGATTCTGAAAGCATGATGATGAGACAGTGGCAAATCTCATTAATTAGTATTGTGCTTGCACCAGATTCAGCACAGTGCTGCTGAGGAGGTGTGGAATCAAGGTCTGGAGCTACCTGGCTTGGTGCTAGCTCACTATCTTTGCATCATATATGTTGTGTCATGGATGTACCCATCTTCCTTTCATTACTGTAACTCATGACATCAGAAAAGACTTGTGAGTAAAAGATTGCTATTCATTTGCTGGTTGGCATCCATAGATGCAACACCCATCAATGGAATCCTGCTTATCTCTCAGACTTGGATTTGGTCCATGGATATTTAATAGTTTGACTCCTACATCTTCTAACACATACTTCTTTTATTGCCTACCCTCAATACTGATCTCCCATCTGCAGTGAGTGTGTTTTGGGTGTTTAAAGCAGTAAAATAAATTAAAAATGGTTTTTAGAAGGTGAGAAAATTGATTGAGACATCAAACTATTATTGACAGTTTGAAAGAATTTTTACTTCCAAACCAATCCTTTTTACTGTGTTTTTTAGAAATATTACCACTGGTCCAGTAAGACTGACAATTCAAGAAAGCACTTCCTAGCACCAGTGAACACTTAATTTGACAGAAGACTTAAACCTCAAAATGATAAGCAAATTCTTTGTAGATATTCTGTTTACATGCAAGCAAGTCACTTCACTGAATTGTTAGCTTTTCTTATTGATGCTTTATAAAACTGGAAGAAATAATGGAACAGAAAAGCTAGCAAAATCACTGGTTCCATATCCTGATGAAATTGTGAGTTGCAATAGTTTCATCTAAACATGATGCAAGAGATGTGTCAGATTTATTAAGACTTCAAGGAAATAAAGTATTTGGGCATATTGGTCTTGGCTCCCATGCCTGCATAATTCCTTGTGGTGGAAAGAGTCAGGTAATTTTTGAAGTCCATCAAATGAGGATCTTGTTCATCTTTCACTCATGAACTTGGATTTGTCTCAGAAACCTTCAAGCACCCACCTTCTTTGTTGTTTTTGTAGGGGAGGTGGGGCTTACTTAATCAGGAAGACAACTTTAGCAGATATTTAAGATATAAATGGTTAAAGTGCAAAGTTAAGTGTTAAAGGTGTAAGAAGATGAATTTCTTCTTTCAGTCATATTTTCCCATGCAGAGATGAGGGTATTGGACAATGAAATCCTGCATTTGGACAACTCTGAAAACAGGACAATTTCTAGATAAATTCAGCCTTCAGCTATTTATTCCCTGAAAAAATATGTTTTCACATCAAGATAATTATTTTGAGGGAAGAGGCCATTTGAAACAAACCATTTTATTGTGGTTTGTGGCAAACAACAGTCATGTGTAGTTCAGATGGTTTATTGAAAAGTGTCAATGCCTTCCCTTTACAAGGATTTTACACTAAGCTTATTAATGTTAGGTGACCAACCTCTGTAGACAATTCCAGCTTTTTGCCATAGCTACAGAGGCTCTCAGAATATGTAGGTGTGTGGCTTGCAAATGTGGTGGCCTATCAGGTGTGCACATGACATGTAGCCATGGAATGTGGTCTTGAGTTGTTAAGAAATGAGATTTTCTGTACATTTATTTTTGTATTCTACAGGGAGTCACGACACTATGACCTACTGTTTGGATAAAAGCTCTGCTGTTAGTGGCAATGAGTCCAAGCTGGTGAAGTTTTTAAACAAATGTCTGCCCTGCATTGTGCACCCCATTATCATGAAGTGGTCTATAACACAGGTAACCATTGTCTGGGGTTCTCTTCTTGCCTTTGCAAAGTTGAAACTTGTGCTGCAGGGCTGAGAGTGTACAATGACAGAATAGCCTGCTGCCCAGAAATCTGTGCTCTCATGAGATCCCATGCTTGGATGTTGTGGTTTAACCCCAGCCAGCAGCTCAGCCCTGCACTGCTGCTTCTCGCTGCCCCAGGGTGAGACAGGGGAGGGAATTGAAGGGTAAAAGCTGGAGAACTTGTGGGTTGAGATAGAGACCTTTTAATAGGTAAAGCAAAAGCCACATGGGCAAGCAAAGCAAAATAAGGAATTAATTCACCACTTCCCATGGACATGAAGGTGTTCAGTCACCTCCAAGAAGGCCAGGCTCCATCATGTGTAACTGTGTCTTAACAGGACAAACACCATCACTCTGAACATTCCCTCTCTTCTTCCCCCAGCTTTATATGCTGAGCATGACTCCTTATGATGTGGGATATCCCTGTGGTCAGTTAGGGCCAGCTGTCCTGGCTGTGTCCCCTCCCAGCTCCTTGTGTACCCCCAGCTCCCTTGCTGGTGGGGTGGGGTGAGAGGCAGAAAAGGCCCTGACTCTGTGTAAGCCCTTCTCAGCAACAGCAAGAACATCCCTGTGTAATCAATGCTCTTTCCAGCTCAAATCCAAGCCACAGTTCCATTCCAGCCAATATGAAGAAAATTACTCTTTCAAAATCCAGCACTTCAGAGTATGAGATAGGAGCCACACATATCTAATCATCTTTTATGGGCAAAAAGCATGCAGGTGAGGCAGGGATGATACTTGTAGTTGTTGTTTAAAGCTGACCACTTGGTACTAGAAACCATTTTTCGCATGTTTATTGTGGTGGTAAATAAAATTTAATATTAATGTAATTAACAGAGATTTTTTTTTCTCTTGAACTTTGTTCAGGAGCTTTGCTTGTCATTTTTGCTATCACTGTTGTGTGAGATTCAGTTGCTTTCCCTACCTATACTGGGTGTTTCACCAGCAGCAGAAACAGAAAAAACCCTTGTTGAAGGATTTTTTTTTCCCCATAAAGATTAAAAGAGTGAAGGTGTGGTCCATCACATAAGGTTTAGTTAACTTTTTAAAATGTGTGTGTGTGTAAGAGTAGTTATCTCTTTGTTCCTTATAAATGTATGGTAAAGACAAAATTGATGATCATGATTTAAGGTACAGCTTTTGAAGGTTTTTACAAAGAATAGACTTTCCTGATGTCAAAGAGGTACCAAAAATCTTTCTGGTTTTGTTCTTATTGAAGGAGTAGTTCATTATTAGAGAATTAAAACTGAATAATTGATAAATATCAATAAGCTGCTAAGGTTTCTTTTGTTGTGTTTGAGCAGCTCTGGCAAACTAGAATCTTAGACACTGCCAGCTATCAAATATGAACCAGCAATCATGAGCTGATGTTGATGGGCACTTGCTTAGCACAGATACTTGTTTATTTTGAGCTGCTTTTTTGAGAGGGACTTTAGCCAAAGAAAGATTTGGAAACCTCCTAACTTGTGGGTTTGTGGCTGGCAAAGTGACCCTGTTGGTGACAAACAATCTCTTAACATCATTATAATAATCTTCTGGTCCAAACCCAGTGTGACAAGCAGGAAGTGTCCCAGTGCTGTTAGGGAAGAGGCACAGCTACAATCCTGCCCCTCCTTAGCTCTGCTGTGCTCCAGTTATCTGTGTGGGGAGATGACTCCACCCTTTGGAATGCAGAACAGACACCCTGGAGCCCTTCTGATGGTAGGATCCCCAAGTTCCTGGATGGCCCAGTGCCTGGGAGTTGCCTGCTTGAGCCCCAGTTGCTGTGGCTGTCAGTCTGGAGGCCCAAAAGGTTCCTGTGTAATGGCTGTGGCACTTCCAGTCATGCCCTGGATGCCTGGTGTGAGATTGAAGCATTGAGCAGCATTGCTCCTCAGGGCTTCCTTCTGAATTTTGCCCTTTAGGGGGCAATGTTCATGCTGCCTAATCCAGTATCCAAACCCAGGTGACTAATTAGAGAGTCTAATTTGTCTTCTTTTCCTGTGTAGTCAACAGATAAGAAATGAATTAATCTGAACGGCAGTTCAGAGCAGCAATTTCATTTGGTGCTTTTTCTGGCCACAGAGGTTATAAACGACCTACAGCCATGTACAAGAGGTTATAAATGACCTACAGCCATGTACACTCCCATCTCCAACATACTCCAAGCAAAGGGGAGTGGATCATCCCTTCAACTGCTTCAGCCTGGTGGAGACCCAGCAGGCCCAGGAAGAGCTGACCCACTGCACCCCTGGACCCTGGGGCACCCAGGGCTGCTCTGTCCCAGCCCAGCCCCTCGGGCACAGCCTGGGGAGGCTTAATTCATGTCCAAAAACCAGGAAGTTAGGGGGTTAAACTGAGCAAGGTGAGCATCCTGCCATGTGCCTTAAGCTCTGCCACAGTGCTAAAGCTACGAATCTGGATATTCAAGAGCAATGCCTTGTACTGATTTAGATTTCTGATCCTTTCTGATTTAAATCAGTATAATGTATGGTTTCTGAAGCTGAAATTTTTATCCCTAGCAGGTTGAAGTAAGATGGACTAGTGTTTAAACATACCTAATTAAATTGATTCTATTTTCTTTTGCTAAGAGAGTCTTGACATAAGGAAAAGACATATAATTTGAAACTTTTTGCCCCAGAAGCAGCTTTATCACCTGTTCTATTCAGCCCTCAAAGCCAGTGGAAGTGCTCTGAGGGAAGTGGATCTAGAGGAGTGCCTCTGTTTTGTAAGACCTCTACAGGTTAATTCAAACTTCAAAAGTAACTATATCTTCAAAAAGAACAATAGCCAGTAGTTTTTTCTATTTTTGATTTTCCTTCTGTTGAGGATGTGTGAGGTCCGCAGAGACAGCCACGGTAAAGCCTTTGATCTAATAAGATAAATACAGCATTTCTAACTTGCTGATCCTGCAATGGTTTTTTAAATGAATAATTGTGTGAAGAGCAATCATGTATTTATGCACAGGTTAATTGGTCTTTAACTTTCAGAACACAACAAGGGCAACTGTCTGAAACTAATCTAATCTGTACTTGCAGTAAATGCTGCAGGGAAATTGGAATCCCTCTTGCCAGAGCGCAAAATGCTTCCAAGTTGCAATTTGGTGCCATACAGTAACATTTTAAAGATGAAAGACCTGTGAAAAATGCCACAGAGCTAACTTTGTACCCCTCTTTTAGCTTTCTAAACTAAAGAAACAAATCTCTTTCAAGTTCTCAGGACCTCTGTCTTCTGTTTCACCTTTCAGGTCCTGACTGTGACAGAGCAACTTGAGGCTGGAGTTCGATACCTGGATTTCAGGATTGCCCACAAGGCTAATGATCCTTCTATGAATTTGTACTTCGTGCATATGGTTTACACAACTGTTACTGTGCAGGTATTTTCCTTACCTTTGTGATAGCTATGAAACCAGTGTCATTTTTTCATTTGAGGGCCATCATAATCCAGAAAAACTGGCTTAAAGTCTTCTGAGTAGGTTATTTGTTTTTCTTTTGTGAGGACTTCAAATTAGAGAAAATCAGCAGGGCTGGAAGTTAGGTTCAGCAGCTGCACGTGATACTGGAGCATCAATGTTTTCCTTATCCTCAAACCAGACTCTTTGTGCCTGCTCTCCACTGCCTATCCCCTACCACATGCCTGATGTTCTGGGGTTTATCATGTGTTGTTCCAGGATGAGACTCAGGGCATTCCTGTTTCCCTGGTAAGGAGAGATGTTGTTAAAGGGAAGAAGGCATTAAAAGCCCTATATAATTACAGAAACACTTTTTTTTTTTTTTGAGAAAACACAGTTTTTCATTATTGTGATTGTGAGTCTACTCCACCATCACTGCTCTGTTGATTGTATGTCCTTTCTCCTGCATAGCACAGATAACTTTCTAAGCTGCCAAATCTCTTTCTTGTAGGATATTCTGTGGGAAATATTGAGGTGGTTAGAAACTCATCCTCAGGAAGTTGTTATCATAGCCTGCAGGAATTTTGATGGATTAACCAAAAGACTTCATAATCATCTTGTTGCCTGTATAAAAGAGATTTTCCAGTGTAAACTGTGTCCTAGAAATGTAAGTATGAGATGCTTTTTTTTCACATTTTAAAAGAATGATCCACCCCAGTGAGATCTTTGATTGGAAATTTTTAGATATATTCTACTTTCACCGTGTTTTTAACCTTGGAAAACTACCATTTACTGCATTAGAGATAGGTCATTATCTAATAGAACTGAGGAGATAAAGCAAACATACATTCCACAGTGTTGAGGAGGGAGTTAAATTTGACTGTTATGTATGTGGGACAATAGTAGAGACAACTGTCATCCATTGTCCTGTCTGAGTTTTCTTGGAAAGGAAATGGAAAAGAAGAGAGAAAAGAAAAGAGAGGAAAAGAAAGGAAAATGAAAGAAAAAATAAAGGAAAATAAAAGTTGTGCATCTTATATTTATTATTTAGAATTTAAAGAATCCATTTTCTGCCTTTTCACAGCAATAATTATAAATTAATTTTTTTCTATTTTAAACAGTTTAGGTTGGAAGTGACCTCTGGAGGTCATTTGGTCCAACACCACCATGTAAAGTAGGACCAGGTTCCAAGTTACGCTGGGCTGCGTCCTGTTCATTCTTGATTATCTCCAAGGATGGAGATTTCACAACCTTTCTATGCAAAATTTGACCACTCTCACAGTAACATTGTCTTCCTTCTCTATCTGATCAGAATCTCTCTTGTGTCTGCTGACTTCCATCCTTTGCTGTGCATATCTGAGGAGTCTTCTCTACATTTACCCATTAGGTACTTGCAGACTGTCCAGTCTTGTCTTTTCATGCTGGACAGACTCGGCTCCCTCAGCCTGTCCCTGTGTGCCATGCTCCAGCCTCTGCTCCAGCCTCTGCTTGCTCTGCTGGTGTGCTGCTGGATTCACTCCAGCTCATCAGTGATTTTTTTGTACTGGGGAAGCCCCAGATGGAAACAATACCTGAGCTCAGTCCCACAGCTGCTGAATAGAAGGGAAGATCCCCTTTTCTTGATTTGCTGTCTGTGCCTTTGCTGATACAGCCCAGTTCACAACTGACCTTTGCCAGGTGAGCATTCTGGCTCGCGTGCAGCTTGATGCCTACGTGAATCTTCAGGTCCTTTTCTGCAAAGCAGGTTTCTTGCCAGCTTCCACCAGTCTGTCCTGGTGTGTGGGGTTAGTCTGTTCAGGACTTTGTATTTGTTTTTGTTGAGCTTCATGAGGTTTCTGTCAACTTGTTGAGGTCCCTCTTAATAGCATCTCTGCCCTCAGTGCATTTCTGGTGGCACTTTTTTTCCTGGTGCTGACCTCCTAACCAGTCTCACAGTTACCCATACCTCCAGAAAAGCCTTAATTTAAATCAGAAAATATTTGATTGCTAGAGTTTAGAAGTTGAGAATTTTAGCTCCCTCTGTTTTTTTACAAGGTGTGGGAGCTTTTAGTAGTTAAATAATTAACATTTCAAAGATGCAGAGGAATAGAGGGTTTTCTCTGGAGATGTGAGTGGTGCAGGAGAATGATGACCCTGTTTATGATTCAAATTCAGCCTTTGAAGCTGGTGTATCACTAACATGTGAGTATTACCACTTCAAAGCATTTTGTACAGCAGAGTTAAAATAGAACAATTCTCAGGAAAACTGGGGATTCTGAATATTCAGGCCTCAGCTGAATAACTGAAGACCTGAGTGACACTATTTATTGTTTCCCCAAATACCTTGAGTGTGTAAGTTGTGGATGAGCAGAGATACTGGAGAAGGTGGTCAAATTTGCTTTTAGACACATGGCCAGCTCCTAAACAGAAGAAAGTTATTAACTGCAAAAGGGGAAAGTTGCTGATGACAACTTGTTGAATAAATGTATTGAAAGAATGGTCTGAGATCACTTGATGAAGAAAGAACATTTCTGAGTTGTGTCCAGGAGGATGGAGGAAGAGAACTGGAGAAAAAACAAACCAAGTACTTCCCTTGAGTAGGAAAACTTTATATCTATGGGGTCTGTAACTAGCACAATGGATCTCACCACTTTGCTAGTGGTACCATTGCAGGTTAGGCATCTGTGGGATTTGTCACAATCAGAGATTTAGATTTGCCCTTGAATATCCAAGTGCTTGTTGACTTATTCTAAAATAAACTGCTACCTACTGTCTTTCAAGACCACATCTCTGTTGTTGTACAGAATGAAGTGTGAAAGTGTTTATGAAGCAGCTGCTCAGGCAAGGTCTGTATGTAGTACTGGCACAGGCCACAGTGTGACAATATTACACTGCATTTAAAATTTTAATTGTCTTAACTATTCAAGGTGTCTTCCTTTGATCTGGATTACTAGGGTTTAAAAATCCCTTGTTAGACTTTAATTTCTGCTTTGTCTGCATAATAAGCACCTGTGTTTATATACACATCTCTGGTAGCTTGTTTTTTTGGCTTTTATTGCACATCTTTGCTTGTTTGTTTAAAAGGTTCCAGCTTTAGAAAGGCAGCTGGAGTAAAGCAAATGCTTCCGTCAACCACAAAGTTTTGTAGCTTAAGAAGCTTGTGTCTTAATTTTGCAATATTTTCTGACCTAATAGAAGCTTGCATTCTTTCTTTGTGGATGAACTGAGAGGGATTAATTCAACCCACAGCTTTCTTCTAATATTTATATTTTTAATTTTCAAGTGCCTTTGGCTTTTATTTAACTTAATAACCTAATAGGAACATCAAAAAGCCACCATTTCTTTTTCACAAGCTGCAAATGTAGTTTTTAACCACAACATTCTTAGAAGAAACAATGTCTGTTAAATATGTTTTGGTGGGTTTTTTTGCAAATAAAACTAGTGAGAGGGCCTCAGTTCTCTCCCATGGTAACTTCTGAAGCTGGAAAATGTAGTGTCTCAAAATTTCATATTGAGACACTTAAATTTAACAGCTATTTTAGCTCATCTGTCTGATAGAGAAAATGTCTGACTCAGGTCTTTCTCAATTAAAAATGTCTGGAGCATCCCAATTTCATAAACTTTCCACTTAGAGAAATTAGAATTAATGTAGCTCTTGGTGACTCACATTTAGTATTACCAATTTTTAAACAGTTCAGTTTTCTTTAGTGGTTACTGTCCCAAATTTGCATCAATGTGTGGAATCTGCCAAAATGATTCCTGCTTCTCTCTGTGTGCATTCCTGCAACACATGGTCTCAGTCTTCCTCCCCTAACAAACTTTCAGCAGTGGCTTGTGCATGAGGGCTGACACAGGGATGGTTTCCTATTATGCAGCTGTAAGACCTTGAGTTATGGACATGATCATAGCTGAATTGTCTGAGGAAAGGAGGAATTTGCTGAAGCTCCTAGGTCATATTGTCCTGCAGCTTGTGGACTAGCCTATCACCTACTGGGCTGCCTATTTAAACTCTTTATCTGAACTGAATCTGTGCCAAGGTGAGGTCTCACAGTATGTGGAGTTAAGGAATGCTGCTGTGTTGCTCACATCAACCTGGGCCTGCTTCCTTTTAGGTGGTGCCCACGCTGCGGACCTTGTGGCACCTTGGCCATCAGGTTATAGTCTCGTACGAAGAGGAGATGGAACTGGGGAAGCACTGTGAGCTGTGGCCTCCCATCCCATACTGGTGGGGAAACAAAACATCCACTCGTGCTCTCATCCGGTATTTGGAGCGCATGAAGCGGACGGGCCGGCCAGGTAGGCATGTGACAGGTGTTCACAGGGGTCCCAGGATGAGGGAAAAGATGAGGATCTGACTCCGTGTTTCAGGCTTGATTTATTATTTTATGATATATATTATATTATAACTATACTAAAAGAATAGAAGAAAGGATTTCATCAGAAGGCTAGCTAAGAATAGAATAGGAAAGAATGGTAACAAAAGCTTGTGTCTCAGACAGAGAGTCTGAGCCAGCTGACTGTGATTGGCCATTAATTAGAAACAACCACATGAGACCAATCACAGATCCACCTGTTGCATTCCACAGCAGCAGATAACCATTGTTTACATTTTGTTCCTGAGTCCTCTCAGCTTCTCAGGAGAAAAATCCTAAGGAAAGGATTTTTCAAAAAATGTGTCTGTGACATAGGCACAGGCAGTTCGCTCGCAGGAGAGAAGGGGCACTTACAACCATGCAGAACAAGTAGGAAGCTGGGCAATTGTTGCCTTCTGGAATATAACCACCCTGTGTGTGCTGTGTGGATACTGTCAGTGCACATACACAGAGATTGTGGCAGCCACCTCACTGGTGTGACCCACAGAAAGGGAGCCCTCAGTGCAGACCTGCTCGCTGGTGCAGTTGCGCCCGCCTCATGGGGAGGAGGCTGCTTCCTCAGTCCAGTCTTGCTTTAGGCAGCACAGATGGTGAGAGAAGTGCATTCCACTAGCCTTGTTGTTAAAGGAAGCTCATACAAGGTTTCTCTCAGGGAACACCTTATCACTCTCTACAGCTACTTGAAAGGAGGTTGTAGCAAGGTGGAAATTGGCCTCTTCTCGCAGGCAACCAGAAGAGGAAATGGCCTCAGGCCAGGGGGATGCTGAGCTTGGAAATCAGGAACAATTTCTTCACTGAAAGTGTGGTTAAGCATTGGAATGGGCTGCCCATGGAGGTGGTGGAGTCACTGTCCCTGGAGGTGTTCAAGAAACAACTGGACGTGGCACTTAGTGCCATGGTTAGCTGTCGTGGCGATGTTTGGTCAAATGTTGGACTCTATGATCTTGGAGGCCTTTTCCAACCTTAATGATTCTGTGATACCAAGCAGTACGAGCAGGGTGTAGCTGCACATGAACAGCAGCTCTCAAGCATGCTGGTGCAGTGCAATGTGACAGAGGGTCAGTTCAGAACCTGTGACACAGCTTTTGCAGTGAACACACAGGGTGGCAACGGGAGAGGCACTTCGAAGAGCACTCCCCAGCTGGAGGGTGCACCCTGCGCTCCCAGCCATTGCGGGGGAACGCTGAGCCTTTGGAAACAACCCTCACAGAAACAGAGGAGTAATTTACAGAGAACTAGTCAGTGGAGAACCTTTAGACTGCAATGAATAACTAGACCAATTTAGCTAAACTGGAATGCTTGGATAAGTGAGTGTGGCTCAGGAATTGTTTACTACAGAATGCAGTTGCAACAAGGGGAAACAGCTACAGGGACACGAAACAATACAGAAAGAGTGTGAAGTTAGTATTTTAATGATCCCCACTGGAACGAGATGTGAAGGTAATGCAATGCTGAGAAGTTTCTCTTCTCCTCAAAAGAGTATTTAATGTGTCACTTTCTGATTTTTGTTTCAGGAAAATTCTTTGTGGCAGGGATTAACCTTACTGAAAATTTAAGGTATATTCTTGTACACCCATTTGGATCATTGAAGAAAATGACACTCCAGAGTCTTCCATGTTTGAAAATCTGGATAAAGCAGCAGTATCCAGGACCAAAAAGAAAATGTATTAACATCATTGCTGGAGACTTTATAGGAAACAATGATTTTGTCAAAGATGTGATAGAACTTAACACAAAAATTAATCCTCCATTGCTCTGTCAAAGTGAAGTGGAACAAATAGCATTTGATTCTCAGCTTCCTAATCTATGAAAAGTTGAAAAGGCTTTGTCTGCATTTATTGTGCCCTGCTGTAAACATCCTGAATCCCATAAAGGTCCACTTAAATTAAACCAGTAATACTTTCAAGGCTTAGTAGGAAAAGGTCTCTCAACACCATCAGGGTTTTGAGGCCTTTGGACAGAAAAGAGGGCAGGTACCTTGCTGAAGTCTCTAAAGAACTATGGCATAGGTGTAATTTTTTTGGAGATGCTTTGATTCTTGATAGATTTTGATTCTTCTTAGATTTTTTGGAGAAGCTTTGATTCAGCTGGCGATACTAAAAGTCCCAAGAACTCAGTCTTATTTTCCATAGGACTAAAGAAGGAGGAAAATATCAGTAGTTGCATTTAGTGGTAAGATTTTATCTTCCTTATAATTGTAAGGACATTCTGCACTAATTGCAACCCAAATTCTTACTTTTTTATATGAGTCTGAAATTGACTTGTCAGTTTTCATAGTTTCTGTTAAATAAACAAAAGGAACAGTTTAAAATATTTTGATATATCAGAGATGCTGCACTGACAATCCAATTTGAAATGATCTTATATATACACACCAATGTGCTGAGTATCAGTTGTGGGCTACCTCACGAACAGGGTAGCCCCAAAATTATTTGGAATTTTTAAGAGGTAATTGAATTTGCACTTAATCATGCCAGTTCTGCAGGGATAAAGATACCAAAATGAGGCCCTTACACAGTTTGTCTGTGGCAGTTAAACATTTTACTAGGTGTTGCCTAAGTATGCCTTACACTGAAAATAAACACAGAGGAAACAAATTCCTGATCTTAACTTAAACTGCCCTAGAAACACAGATTCTTGGCTTCTATCATGCTCATTTGGGGTTTCACACCTGGTCTGTTATTTAGCTATTTTAGTAGCTCTGTAATTATTTTTCCTCTCACTAAGTAGTTTTTGAATATGCCAAAACTAAGAGGTTTATGCTATTTCCCATCACATACTAATTCTGTTTTTCTAAATGAACTGTGTAATAACAGATCATCATGAAAGCAAGAAAAATGTCAAGCATCAGGACTAAAATAGGACCAATTATTGTGTAAAGTTCACTATGCAACTTCATCCATATACCTCACTTTTGAGATGCACTTTATATACAAAACTAAACTCAGATGTCTGCTAATGTTTGCAGAAGTTTTTCTGCCCATCTTTTGTGCCCTCTTTTTTACCCTTCTTATTCTAATAAAACTTGATCTCTCTCTGTAATATGGAGTGAAATATTTGGTTTTTCCTTTCTGTGATGTTGTTTTATTGGTTCTCAGTAGTAATTCGTAACTTAAGAAATGGATCTGTTGTGGGTTTTTTCCTATTGTTTTCCTCTGTGAAAAGGTTTGCTTTACCTTAAATGTTTTCTCCAAGAACTGACATAGTAATAGGTATTGTGGATAAATTACTGTAGGCAAGAAAACTGTATGGGTAAAAGATGTTCACAGCTAACTTTATTTAATGCCTTAATTGATTTGTTTTTCTTCACTGCAATAAGACACGGCAGTTATTTTACTTACATTCACGCATTCTGCTTGAACACAGATTTATCTTTATTATTTATATACAACCAACAATATTTTCTTCACTAACTTTCCTTTTCCAAAGACCATCTGAAACACCTTAACTATAATAAATACTATTTCCTTCTGAAAAAGGCAATAAAAAGCTTTATTTATATGATATAAGAAACTTGGTACTTTTCTGTAGATTAAGTCAGATGCCATTCCGTGTGTTTGAGGTCCTCAGCCAACAACAGGTTTAACATAAAAAATTTAGTGCTGTCCTGGTACTTGCTGACAAAATTAAGCTCAAAGCTCTTATTGTTTCCATATAGAAGTTTTCTGAAACAGCGTCCATTTCTAAAATGCGCCAAAACCATCAAGTGTGGAAGAAAAATAAACTATTCAGCAGTGAGACTAACAGGTCATTTATTTCACATCCTCTTGAAGAGATCAGTTTCTTCTCCTGGAACAAGATGTAATTTCATGACATGAAAATCTCACTGTTGGGAAAGAGGTTTTTGTATCTGCCGAAAGCAGAGCTGCCGATTATCACCTTCACCCTGGCTGTGCCGTCTTCAGGCATGACCTCTACTTCCTGAACTGTTGCTTCTTTATAGAGCCAACTGTAAATGTGAAAGCATATTAGTATTTTAAAAGTATGACACATTGCACAAAATGTGATTCTTGGTCTAGGTCCGAAGGTTCCTATCTAGGTAACATTTTAAAAGATAAAGTGCTTCACTTCACTTCTCTAATGGGGCTATTTTTTGTCAATAGGTCGCAAAACATTGATAAGTATCTCTGTTATTCTTAAGAGAGGTAGCAGATTAAAATCAGTATGATATGATCTGAAAACTTTCAGACATGAATGATTAAGTGTTTCATCTTTCTCCAAGTCCTTCACATGATTTAAAATTATTTACCTTAGCTGAGGTCCCTCTAAGTTGATATTAACTGTTAGAATCTTCTTCCCTGTTGCTGTCAGTATTTTTTTCTCTATTTCTTGTTTCAGTTCTTCTAAACCATGCCCATGCAGAGCAGAAACAGCTAAAGCACTTTCTTCAGTGGGTTTATACCTGAAAGAAAATTAATTGCTAGCACATTTGTTCATGAAGATTAGGTTGTGAAAATATTCCAAGCACGGACAATTTAACTGAGTTACTTTGTACTGACACCTTCTACAGAGGCCACTTCTTGTATGACTCAAGTGATTTCTTTTGTAATTAAAAGATAATTAATTCTTTTTCAGACCATAGTTACATATGTAAAAGACTGGGAAACACTATTAAATATATTCTGAAGTGTGGGATCTCTTTTCTACACTAAGAATGAAAAAGATTCTGGAACATAAGAAATGTTTAAGTACACTTAGCATCTCCTGCTTACCTTTCTATCAAATCCACTTTGTTATGAACTTCTACCATTGAGTCCAGTAAATGGCTAGGAAGATTGAGATTCCTCAGAACTGACAGAACAGTGGCTTTTTGGAGGATGGTTTCTGGATGAGTAACATCCCTCACATGAACTATCAGATCCTGGCAAAGATCAATATACAATACCATTTACCAGGTTGTAGAGATTGTATACCATTTTTGCATTGCTAATTAATGTAAAATACTTTCCTGTCCACTTGGTAATACACTGGCAGATCAGCACTGTAAAATTAACTACTAAACCAGTATTAAGCTACTGTTTCTTAGACCATGATGGAAGAAAATCTGCAGCAGCTTAGCCTTCCACCTCTAGTGAGTACAAATTGCCTCCCACAAACCTGAAGCAAATGCTGTCAATCAAGCTAGTTACAGAATCAGATTTCAAATAGTAACTGATTCATTTTGTTCAAAGCCAAGGCTTTGTAACAGTAAGGCTTCAAAACTGTTTCAAAAACAGAGGGAAAAAACCTCCCTGTTACTTGTAATTCTATTTTTATATTCAAAATATAGAATACTATCCTTCTGCTTAGCTCCCAGGATACTATTACTGATGCTTCACTAAAAAGCTTCATACAAAATTTACCAGTTTCAAGTATATATATAATGTTTGCCATAATAAAAACCAAGCAACCAAACTCAACATTTGCATTCAAATAGTTTCATCATCTTTGCTTGAGACATTGCTTTATACTTCTGAAAAATAATTAGAAGTAAATGACAAACAGGATGGTTTCAGCCAGGTTTTAAAAGCCCTGCTATTACATGGTTAAGTCTAATCTTTAGCAGCATTCTGGCATCTAGCTACCACTAAATTTCATTACCTTTCATAATACAGGGTTTTTGTTTAAATATCTGTGTGTATGTATGCAGCTTTACACTTTGTTATAGCACAGGAAAACAAACTTTAATGAGAAAATAATTGCTAAAGTACATTTATATTTATTACATGCTGCCTGCATCACATCACAATCACTCATTTGTAGTCTACAAGCAACCTTAAGTTAAAACCAGGTAATTTCAGATGCTTTAATTCATTTTTAACTCCCAGAAAAGCTAGCCTTGACTCACTTGGATGCACTGTTCAGATATTTTATCAGAAAAATCTGGTTTATCTGGTTTAAGTATCGTGGAGATGGACACATATACTCCAAATAAGCCCTTTCTGAAATCCCTTCGTAGCTGCATGTTCTACATAAGTAAAGCATCAGAAAATTAGTTTATTTTAAGATATTTACGTCATTATCTCAGGAGTTTACTTTAGTCAGCCAGATACTTTGCCAAGAACACCATGTCAATTAACTTCCTCTGTTTTGAAGGGGTGAGGATTATCTAAAATGAAATTATTTGATTTCCCGATTTTTATAGTCGACTACTTACTGAGTAAGCCACTTCTTCTAGTGTAGCTGAAAATGACTCAACCAGATTATGTGGAAGATCAGTCAGAAACCCAATGGTGTCAACATAAATAACTGGCATATGTGAGGGTAAATAGCCAGCATGGGCTGTAATATCCAGAGTGGCAAACAGCTGATCTTTGGGTTGAAGTCCTGCTTCCCCAGTCAAGGCTTTGATCAAAGTAGTTTTTCCTAATTAAATAAAAAATTACAGTATTTTAATGGCTTGTTCCAAGTAAAATTTAATTTGCAAGGCTCAGGTGAAATGTATGATGTAACATATGTTTTTACATCTATTTGAGTTGTTTAATTGTAGCTTGTGATCAGTTATCTATATGATGTTAGGAAATCCAAAGACAGTCTTACATTTTATAACCTGGAATTGGGTTTAAGGTCACATATGTAATCACATACTGGTATCTACAGCTGTGCTGTGAAATCACAAGATAATCAAAGACTCATTTGACCTCATTTGATCTACCTACATCTCTCACCATTAAGACTCTGAAGAGCACTGCCATGACAGCATTAGGAAGCATGCACTTACACACTCCTCAGTGCTTCTGTTGCCAAATGAAATTATTTACTTGCTAAATAAAAAAAATAAAGATAAGTGCTAATAATATATACCTTATTAGGCTGAGGCCTTTATTAGGCATTTCCTCATGAACATAATAATAGAGACATTTATTTGACTCAATGAATACTTCATATATTTAGTCATTAAAGTGCTCAGTATATAGCCTAATTAAAGTATTTCAATTATGTGTATGCCAAACTGTTTTATATCTATATCTATATCTATATCT